CTTCCTGCTGCCCTGGTATACCCACTGGCTGCCCTGGTATACCCACTGGCTGCCCTGATACCTTCCACTGGCCCTGTGCCCTACTGACCTGGTATACCTTCCACTGGCCCGCCTGATATGCCTTCCACTGGCTGCCCTGATATACCTTCACTGCCCTGGCCCACTGGCGCCAATGCCTTCCACTGGCTGGCCTGGTATACCTTCACTGGCTGCCGGACCTTCCACTGGCTGCCCTGGCATACCTTCCACCGGCTGCCCTGGTACCTTCCACTGCCTGGTTACCTTCACTGGCTCCCTGGTATACCTTCACTGGCTGCTGGTATACCTTCACTGGCTGCCCTGGTATACCTTCCACGGCTGCCTGGTATACCTTCCACTGGTTGCCTGGCGCCACCTTCCACTGGCTGCCTGGTATACCTTCCACTGGCTGCCCTGGTATACCTTCCACTGGCTGCCCTGGTATACCTTCCACTGGCTGCCCTGGTATACCTTCTTGCTGCCCTGATGTCTCTTCCACTTTGTACTTCCACTGGCTGCAATGCTTACTCCACTGGCTGCCCTGGTATACCTTCCACTAAGCTGGTATTCCCCACTTACACTGGCTGCCCGGTATGCCTTCACTGGCTGCCCTGGTATCTGCTTCCACTGGCTGCTGGTATACCTTCCACTGGCTGCCCTGGTATACCTTCCACTGGCTGCCCTGGTATGCTCCTCGCTGCCCTGGTACTACCTTCCACTGGCTGCCCTGGTATGCAACTCCACTGGCTGCCCTGGTATACCTTCCACTGGCGCCTGAGTACGCTTCCACTGGCTGCCTGAACCTTCCCGCCTGGTATACCTTCCCTGGCTGCCCGATATACTCCACTAGCTGCCCTGATATACCTTCCACTGGCTGCCCTGGTATACCTTCACACTGGCTGCCCTGTGTCTATTCCACTGGCTGCCTGATATACCTTCACTGGCTGCCCTGGTACGCCTTCCACTGCCTGGTATACCTTCCACTGGCTCCTGATATACCCTCCACTGGCGCCTTGGCATACCTTTCACTGGCTCCTGGCACCTTCACTGGCTGCCCTGATATGCCTTCACTGACGCCTGGTATCGCACTGGCTGCCCCTGAGTATACCTTCCCGCTTGCATACTTCCTGGCTGCCCTGTACCTTCCACTGGCTGCCCTGGTATACCTTCCACGGCTGCCTGGTATACCTTCCACTGGCTGCCTGTTACCTTCCACTGGCTGCCCTGGTACCTTCCACTGGCTGCCCTGGTATACCTTCCACTGGCTGCCCTGGTATACCTTCCCGCCCCCCTGGCTGCCCTGATATACCACTGGCTGCTGGTATAGCTTCCACTGGGCCCTGGTATACCTTCCACTGGCTGCCCTGGTATACTCTCCTCCCTGGCTGCCTTCACTGGCGCCCACCCCCCCTGGTACTACCTTCCACTGGCTGCCCTGGTATACCTTCCACTGGCTGCCCTGATATACCTTCCACCAGCTGCCTGGTATACCTTCCACTGGCTGCCTGGTATATTCACTGGCTGCCTGGTATACCTTTCACTGGCTGCCCTGATATACCTTCCACTGGCTGCCCTGGTATGCCCTTCCACTGATCGCCTGATATACCTTCCACAGCTGCCTGGTATACCTTCCACTGGCTGCCTGATATACCTTCACTGGCTGCCTGATATACCTTCCACTGGCTCGCCCTGGTATACCTTCCACTGGCTACACGCCCTGGTATACCTTCCACTGGCTGCCTGATATCACCTTCACTGGCTGCCCTGGTATACCTTCCACTGGCGCCTGATATACCTTCACTGGCTTGCCCTGATATACCTTCACTGGCTGCGCGTGCTTTCCACTGGCTGCCTGATATACCTTCCCCTGGCTTGCCTGGTATACCTTCCACTGGCTGCCTGAACATACCTTCCACTGGCTGCCCTGATATACCTTCCACTGGCTGCCCTGGTATACCTTCCACTGGCTGCCTGATGCCCTTCCGGCCCCTGATATACCTTCCACTGGCTGCCCTGGTATACCTTCCACTGGCTGCCTGGTATACCTTCCCCACCCTGATATACCCACTGGCTCTCTGCTCTTCCACTGTTGCCCTGGTATACCTTCCACAGCTGCCTGATATACCTTCCACTGGCTGCCTGGTATACCTTCCGCTGCCTTGTATCTTCCACTGGCTGCCTGGTATACCTTCACTGGCTGCTGGTACTACATACCACCACCTGCCATGCCCTTCCACTGGTTGCCCTGGTATACCTTCCACTGGCTGCCCTGGTATACCTTCACTGGCTGCCCTGGTATACCTTTCACTGGTGCCCTGGTATACCTTCCACTGGCTGCCCTGATATACCTTCCACTGGCTTGCCCTGGTATACCTTCCCACCTCTGGCTGCCCGATATACCTTCCACTGGCTGCCCTGATATACCTTCCACTGGCTGCTGTATACCTTTCACTGGCTGCCCTGGTATACCTTCCACTGGCTGCCCTGGTATACCTTCCACTGGCTGCCCTGATATACCTTTCTGCTGCCTGGACCTCTTCACTGGTGCCTGGTATACCTTCCACTGGTTCTGCCCTGGTATACCTTCCACTGGCTGCTGATATACCTTTCACTGGCTGCCCTGGTATGCGCCACTGGTTGCCTGGTATACCTTCCTGGCTGCCCTACTTCCACAGCCCTGGTATACCTTCCCACAGTTTGCCTGGTATACCTTCCACTGCTGCCTGGTATACCTTCCACTGGTGCCCTGAGCTACCTTCCACTGGCTGCCTGGTATACCTTTCACTGGTTGCCTGGTACCTTCCACTGGTTGCCCTGGTATACCTTCCGCACCGTGCCCTGGTATACCTTCCACTGGCTGCCTCCCACTTGCCCTGATATACCTTTACGCTGCTGGCATACCTTCCACTGGTTGCCCACCCTTCCACTGGTGCCCTGACCTGCCTTCCACTGGCTGCCCTGCACCTTCCACTGTTGCCCTGGTATACCTTCACTGGCCTGATATCTCACCCTGGTTGCCTGGTATACCTTCACTGGCTGCCTGGTTATACCTTCCACTGGTTGCCCTGGTATGCCTTTTTCACTGGTTGCCCTGATATACCTTACTGGCTGCCCTGGTATACCCTTTCACTGGTTGCCCTGGATGCCTTCACTGGCTGCCCTTCACCACTGGTGCCCTGGTATACCTTCACTGGTTGCCCTGGTATACCTTCCACTGTGCCCTGGTATACCTTCACTGGCTGCCTGATATACCTTCCACTGGTGCCCTGATATACTTGCACTGGCTGCTTTCTCACTGGTTGCCCTGGTATACCTTCACTGCTTTCCTGGTATACCTTCCACTGGCTGCCCTGTATATACCTTCCACTGGGTCTGCCCTGTTGCCCTTCCACTGGTTGCCCTGGTATACCTTCCACTGGCTGCCTGATATACCTTCCACTGGCTGCCCTGGTATACCTTCCACTGGTTGATCTTCCCTGGTATACCTCCTCTCCCCTGCTTTCACTGTTGCCCTGGTATACCTTCCACTGGCTGCCCTGATATACTTCCACTGGCTGCCCTGGTATACCTTCCACTGGCTGCCCGTATCCTTCCACTGGCTGCCCTGGTATACCTTCCACTGGTTGCCCTGGTATACCTTCCCCTGGCTGCCCTGGCATACCTTCCACTGGTTGCCCTGGCTCACTTCCACTGGTTGCCCTGGTATACCTTCCACTGGCTGCCTGGTATACCTTCCACTGAGCTGCCCTGGTATACCTTCCACTGGCGCCCTGGCATACCTTCCACTGGTTGCCTGGTATACCCACTGGTGCCGATACCTTCACTGGTGCACCTTCCACGTTTCCTGGCATACCTTCCACTGTGCCCTGGTATACCTTCCTGGTTGCCCTGGTATACCTTCCACAGCTGCCCTGGTATACCTTCACTGGCTTCCCTGGTATACCTTCCACTGGCTGCCCTGGTATACCTTCCACTGGCTGCCTGGTCCTTCCACTGGCTTTACTATACCTTCCCACTGGTTGCCCTGGTATACCTTCCACTGGTGCCCTGATACTACCTTTCACGGCTTGCTGGCATACCTTCACTGGTTGCCCTGGGGCACCTTCCACTGGTTCTTTCACCACTTACCCACTGGCTGCTGAACCCGCTTTCCCTGTCCACTGGCTGCCTGGTATACCTTCCACTGGTTCCCAATGCCTGCTTCACTGGCTGCCCTGGTATACCTTCCACTGGTTGGCCTGGTATACTTCCACTG